GCCAGCAGGATAAGGTCGAGTATTAGCATCCTACCGAACTGCTAAAGCCTCTACCCCTCGCCGAGATACTATGGGAGAGTATCTCTATGGATTTTATAGTGGCTTTATCAAAGTCTGACGGGTACAGAAACATCATGGTCATGGTCAACCGATTTAGTAAGTATGCCACCTTCATTCCAAACCCAGCCTATTGTAAGGGGGACGAAGCCGCACAACTGTTCCTTAAGAACATTGTGAAGTTATGGAAAATCCTGTGGAGCATCATTAATGACAGAGAACCGCGCTTCACGAAAAAATTCTGGCGAGAATTGTTCACGTTGTTGGGGACATAACTGAATTTCTCGACCAGCTTCCATCTGCATAGTGATGGCCAGACCGAGCGGGTGAACGCGTTGTTAGAGCTCTACTTGAGACACTATGTCAGTACCCATCAACAAGATTGGGTGAAGTTATTTGATGTGGCCCAATTCTCATATAATCTCCAGTGGAGAGAGTCGACTAGAAAGAACCCCATCGAGATCGTCATGGGCCAATAGCTCGTGACACCCAATGTCATAGCCTTATCTATGAAGGTAGCAGCCTATTGGCCCACAAGCTCATACGGGAATGGCACGAAGAGGCAAGCATCACAAGAGCTTGCCTTGACAAGGCCACTTGATGGATGAAGAAATGAGTTGACACCAAGAGGCGACCAATGGAATATGTTGAGGGCGACATGGTGATTGTCAAGCTCCTACCCAACCGTTCAAGTCTTCGCGCAAAGTGCACAAATGGTTAGTGCAGAGATATGAAGACCCTTTTCCCATCGTCAAGCGGGTCGGCAAAGTAGCCTATCAGATCCAATTCCTTCCAAGACTTAAAAATTCACTTTGTCTTCCATGTAAGTCTCCTGAAGCCTTATCATGAAGACTAGGAAGATCCAAGCAAGTGTGAGTCCAAGCACGTCCCTACTATGGTTGTCACTGACTTCGACAAGTAGAATACATCCTTGCGGATAGAGTGATTTGCAAGCGTGGTGTGCGTAGCTACACTGAATACTTGGTGAGGTGGAAAGACCATTCGGAAAATGAAGTCATGTGGGAACTAGAAGATTTTCTTTGGCAATTCGCTGATGCCATCTGGCAGTACAAGGAAGAAACCACGCCGAGGATGTCGCGCGATCAAATGGGGGAGGTGTTACGCCCCGCGCAAACTGCTGCACAGCCGAGCGCCCAATGAATCAGAAAATGCACGCACGCACTAGGAAGCCATCAAGCGCGCACGCTGCCTAACTGCGGGAAAAGTCCGGAAGCCCGGGTGGAAAAATCTCCCTCAAGCGGGCAAACTCTAGAATGCGCAAGAAAAATCTGGAAGCTGCGGGAAAGCTTTAGCAAGCTCCACCAAGTGCTAGAAAGCTCCAGCAAGTGTCTACGTTCAAGCTACCAGCCCAGAAGGACCTAGGAAGAAACTAGAAGACCGGGGAAGCATGCTGCCTAGATGTTTCTAGCCTTATCCCTTTCGTGTAAATATTTCTAAAATAATCTACAGATATAATATTGTCCCTTAGATCAAAATGATCCTAGTCGTCCATTGAGGGGGCCAAATACTATAAATAGGCCATCCCTCTTTATTTGTACATGCACATAGCGGCACCAGCAATCTTGTAAAGCATACAATGCTCTCGATAAAGCTCTCTTATTCTTCAAGCTCGCTACTCTCTCTTGCTCTTAGTTAACTCTTTCTACACACAAAAGGCTTATTTAGTCTTGACTGCTTAGATTGAGCAAGTGCCGCATGGGTAACTTCAAAATTACTAACCCCGTGACACTAAGCCATATAAACATAGTTTGCTAGATTACTTACTCCATACATTCTTACAGGTTGGTTGGATCATTGTTTTCACTTAGTTGAGATATAATGCAGTACCTGCAAGAAAATGTTAATAGCAAAATACTTTCCCTCACTGTACACTCATGTTTCACTCACCTCATAGTCTCTCAACTCTCAATCTTCTTCCCATAAGTTGAGTTTTGGAACCAAATCCCTTAAATCAAGATATTCAAGGTTGTCTTAGAACTTTGTAAGAAATTCTAAAGGAATCTCGTTTTTAGAAATTTGTAGTTAAGCACACAGATGAAGATGATGTGTAATTTTTATAATTATGTTAAGTAACTAGAAAGCGATTAACTATTTAGATGCGTCTCGAAATAAAAACATCAGATAAAGGGTAAAATATGGAGTGCAATGAATGATGATGTTGGACATAAAGCGTAATGGATTTGGTTTACCCTTACGGATGAACCTAAAAATGTAATTTTGTGTTCCCCGATTCAAGATCGAGTCATTAGGCAATTAACAACAAAGTCGTATTCTAGTAAAGGGTTAACACCTTATTTTTATTGTGATAGCGGCGTATTTTGTGAAAATTAATTACAAATCATTAAAATGAAGTTGTTATCTTAGATTTCGTTAAAAGGAATTCTAATCTTGTGGTTTAAAATAACATTTTAATTTGTCTTTATTCATGTCAAGCATACTCCTTTATATAGAAGGTACAATTTTTATTTAAAAATGTTAATTTATTTTAGAATTTAGATCTAATTTGTAATTTAAATCTAATTAAGATATTAGAAATTCAACATTATTTAGAAATCAAGTATTAATGAAAAATATATATATATTATTTAGAAATCTAATACTAATTAGGATTCTAACTACTTAAGAATCTAATACTAAATAAGATTTAATATTTAATTGAATGTCAATTTCCTATTCTTGTTGCGTTTTTTATATTTGCATCCATAACATTATTCTCCCTGGTTTTCTACCTTGTTCTCAAGTTTGAATTGTGGATATAACTGACTTGTTAGTCTATTCTTGTTGTTCAGGATCAGTGTCTTGTTCAATGTCGAGTCAGAACAGTCGTCTACATTGGTAACTCGAAACAAACGACTCATCGCAGTTATAACACTACCTGTTCAATCTTCTTTCTATCATCTCTGCTCTTATTAGTTCCTTTATAAATGGAGATGAAGTGTTACCAGATTATATCGTAATGTTGTTGTCCTATGGTGTTTTCTGAAATGAATTGAGGCTTGGTAACGGACTGAAAATGGTCACTATAATTGTGTACAGTCATATTTCATAACTACTGTTTTCTTTCAAAAGCCCTAACCATACTCATTGCGTGCATAAGAGTGGTGGGTAATTGCATCTAAACTTCCAGCCTATATGAATCTACCAGATCCGTAGTAAACATGTCAACTTGCTGGTCTTGCTGCACTTTATGGGCACGGGTCAAGAGTCTCTAAAACTATCGTATATAGTCCTCCCCTGTGTCTGTTTGTTTTAGGTTGATTATCTCTCCTAACGAATTGTTTTACAGGAGCGGATCAAACCGCAATGTGCAGATTTTAACAAACTGGCCCCATGACATCCTTATCTCCTCCTGTTGTAGCTTGTAGTGCCAAAGTTGAGCATCCCCTAACAAGTGGAAGACTGCCAATCCAACCTTGTCGTTGTTATCCGTTTTTTTATTAATAAAAATTGTCCGCAATGATGGAGCCAAAGTCGGGTCATCTGATCCATCTTAGGTAGAAAAATGAAGCTTTGTATAACGAGAAATTAATCCGTTGTTATGGGAACTGATGTGGGATTCTTCATACCCTAGTCTAGTGTGTCGTCTTTCCTCTCCCTGATTCTGATTTGAACCACTGTTGTCAGTTTTTTCGTTATCAATTTTTCCTTCTTCTTGGACTTGGACAGTTCGGCTAAGAAGAAGTTCTAATTGTTGTGTGATTTGGTGCAAACTCTCTTTTGTTGCAGTTTCAGAAGCTGTCATCCGAAATTTTAGATTCAGCAACTCTTCACATAAACTTTGGTCGCCCATGGTGGCTTGCTTTGGTACCAAATTGTTTCATTCCGTAATTAAGAATTTAGTCATCAAGCGGTTAACAATAAAGTCGTCCTCTAATAAAGGGGAACACCCTTATTCTTATTGTGAGAGCGACCTATTTTGTGAAAATAAATTATAAGTCATTAAATGAGCTACTATCTTAAATCTCGTTAAAGAAAATTTCAATCTTGTAGTTTAAAATAATATTATGACTTATCTTTATTAATATCCAACATACCTCTTTATATAGAGGTTACAATTCTTATTTAAAAATGTTAATCTACTTTGAAATCTAAATTTAATTAGAAATACTCTATTAAAATATTAAAAATCCTACACTATTTATAAATCAAGTACTAATGAAAAATATATGTATTATTTAGGGATTTAATATTAATTATGATTCATAGTTAATTGAACGTTAATTTCCTATTCTTGTTGCGCCTTCCATATTTACGTCCATAATATCGAGCATGCAAGGTGATGGCGACATACATTTTGGTTAGCTTCAAGGGCTCTGATACTACCTTGTCAGAAACCTTACTCTTTGCTCCAATCTGAAGAGATGGAGATAACAGAGGAAGAGAGAGATTGATATGCTTGAGGTAAATAGATTTTCTGATAATTTCATTCATAGATATCTGACCTATCTATAAGTTACAAATGTCGGAGAAAATAAGCAGGAGTCCTCCAAGTGCACCTAGAGGTTACAATGGTCTTACGATCGGCAGGTAGGGGTCCTTTTTAGATGGTTTTTCTGTTTCACCATTTTAAAACCGTAAACCTAATCGGTTACATAAGAAAAAGCCCCTTTTTCCCTTGTGAATACATTTCCCTTTTTACCCCTTATTCTGTAGTACACCACCAGAGACTTTAACGCCTGCTTGACAACTGAACTTTGAGGAGTTGCCAGTTTAGGATCTTATTGAACAAGAAACCTCTATTCATGTCATCTTATTACACCACTACTTCTCGGACTATGTAGGTCTTGGGTCAGTTCACAGCATGTCATTCATGATGTTAGTTGACTATGGAAGCACACAGTTATGCAGAATCTTTGGAAAGTTGTAGATCTTGATTGCCATCTATTAATTTTTTGTATCTGTGCATTTCTATCATATTGCAGAAAAGCAATGAAGCCTTCCAAATGCTGGAGAAAGCTATCATAACCGACAAGAGAAATCCACTCCCTATGTACTACAAAGCTGACATGTTACTGAGCCTTGGAATCTTTGATAAAGCTTTGGAAGTTCTGGAGGAGCTAAAAGAGTATGCCCCTTGTGAAAGCAGTATACATGCATTGATGGGCAAAGTTTACAAAGAGTGTAAAATTTATGACAAGGCCATGCTCCATTTTGGAATTGCTTTGGACTTAAAACCATTTGCATCAGATGCTATTATCATAAAGGTAACTGCCTTCCCTTTTCTGCTCATCTAAATGGTATATTTGCCTGTTTTTCTATTTGGAAAAATTAAAATTCATGGTATTTTGACTTTACGGATTTATCTTCCTAGATAACTTAATGATGTAGACAAGTGAACAATAAAGATAGATAACAGATAGAAAAAGAATAGAGCAGAGATAGAGGTTTAAGGAGTAGAACGAGAAGAGAGGGAGTAAAACCAAGGGAAGGATAAGCACCTAGGGAAGAAAGAGACCTGAAGAGCATAATCAAGTATGAAATAGTTTTAGATTATACCTACTTAATCCAACACAGGCTTACATATTCTCCTAA